CTAGAGCCTAGGCTCCAGCCAGAGCTGGAATGTCTACACTGCAGTTAAACAGACCTGCAGCCTGAGCCCAAGTCAGCTGGTATGGACCAGCTGAGGGTTTTTAATTGCAGTGTAGACATACCAACTGTCAAGGAGCTTCGCCTCGCCATAGATGGCCTCCCCAATGGAAAGGCCCCCAGAAAAGACTGCATACCATCCGAGGTCATAAAATGCAGAAAACCTATTCTACTGCAATATCTTCATGAGTTGCTCTGCCTGTGCTGGAAAGAAGGCAAAAGTACCACAAGAAATGAGAGATGCCAACATTATCACTCTATAAAAACAAGGGTGACAGAAGCAACTGTAACAACTATAGTTATATTTCCCTTCTTAGCCTTTGCCCGAGTTGTCCTGAATAGACTTCAAACCCTTGCAGACAGAATCTATCCTGAATCACAGCACGGCTTTAGAGCTGAAAGGTCTACTATCAACATGATCTTCTCGCTGAGACAACTACAAAATAAACGTAGAGAACAAAATGTCCCTGTACATAGCCTTCATCGATCTCACAAGGCTTTTGACTTTGTCAGTAGAAGTGGACTGTTCATGCTTCTAGAAAAGATTAGCTGCCCCTCCCAAGCTCTTAAGCATGAGTCGATCCTTCCATGAAAACATATTCAGCACAGTCCAATATGACAGCTAAGTGCCTGAGGCTTTCCAGATTCATAGCAGAGTTAAGCAAGAGTTGGGGCAAGTACACAACCTGTTTGAGATCATCTTCTCCCTGCTACTGAAACAAGCTTTTGGTTCCTCAACTGAGGATATCTACTTGCACACAAGATCTGTTGGAAAGCTGTTAAATCTTGCAAGACTCAGACATAAAACCAAGACTCTGGAGGTCCTTATCCAACATCTCCTCTTTGCTGATGATGCAGCAGTGACAACCCACACAGAAGCTCATCTTCAAAGACGAATGGACAGTTTTCCCAAAGCCTGCCAAGACTTTGGGCTTACCATAAGCCTAAAAAAGACTAACAACATGCCAAAGAGTTGAGGAAGCACCCTCTATCAAGATCAACAACTATGAATTTGAAGTGCTGAACGAGTTCACATACCTGGGGTCCACTAACGCAGTCAATCTTTCACTTGAAACAGAACTCAACATCTGCATTGGAAAAGCCACCACAACAATGTCTAGACTGAACAAGAGGGTATGGCAAAACAACAAACTGACAGAACACACAAAGATCTATGTGTATCATCTTGTGTTATCAACACACTTTTGTATGGGAGCGAGACATGAACCTCACATTCTCATCAGGAAAGGAGGCTCGACAGCTTTCATATGCGTTGCCTTCGTCGAATCTTTGGAATCTCCTGGAGGGACAGAGTCACCAATACTGAGGTGCTCAAACAGGCCAGCTTATCAGCATGCAAACACTCCTCAAACAGAGACACCTCCGCTGGCTTAATCTGTGCTTAATGAATGATGGGTGCATCCCAAAGGATATCCTCTATGGGGAATTGGCATATGGAAAAAGACCCAAGGATGCCCAAAATTGCGTTTCAAGGTTGCGTGCAAGTGAGACCTCAAAGAAATGGACATGGATGTGGACAAATGGGAAGATCAAACTCAAGACCGCAGCCTTTGGAAATAAGAACCTAAAAAAGGTCTCAGGAGTTAGGAGAGGAAGCAGTTCAGCTTAGCAGAGGAGAAAAGAACTCGCAGAAGGCAGAGCCCAAAGGGTCGAAACATCACCAAATGTGACAGATGACGCAGAGATGGTCTCTCTCGAGTGGGTCTCTTCAGCCACATTTGCGGCTGCCATAAAACCAAACTGAGTAAATTTTTTACCTCTCAGGGGTGCATACCCATGGTTTCTTGAGACTGAAGGATGCCTTCTACTAGAA